CACCCCCCTACAGATAACTCAGACAATGGATTTTTCCCCCCCTGATGGAGGACTTCGATAAAAGATTTTTTCCCTGATAAGGGACTCGTGAAAGACTCCCACGCCCCCCAACCCCCTGATGGAGGGCTTACACAAAGGATATTTTCCCTTAAATAGATGACTCCAAAAGATAATTTTTTAGTAGAACGCACAATACAAATGACAAAATTATAATGTATTAACACTTTTAAAGCAAGGAAAATATTTGTAATTTATTCTTTGTGCCGTTATCTATAAATAGGGAGCCCCTTTCATGTAAAAAGGCTTTTGATTGTTCCTTACTTGTAAACCTCTATTTTTTTTGGATTAAAATGGGTCCATGAGCCTAGGAAAACCACGATTCATCCTAAGGGGGCAAGTCTTCCTCTCTCTCTCTCTCTCTTTCTTTCTCTCCCACACTCTATCATTTGGGCATGGTCTATCAGATGGATTTAGATTTAAATTATATATATATATATATCTGTGTGTGCGCGCGTGCGTGTAAATTTGAAAGTTTAGGTGTTCCATATTTAAATGCATATAAATTGTATGGTATGTATGTAAATGCAAATCAATGTAAGATTATAATATTGTTCTTCTTGTTGCGGGTGAAGGTACACACTCTTGTATTTACAAACATATAGTGTATTATTTTGACTAGGCTGAGCCACCTGATTTTTTCTATTCATGGGTTTTTCCACATAAAACATATTGGCGTTTATCCTACTAATTATTATTATTATTATTATATCTGATGGATTTTTTGTGCAATAATAAAACATTAAATAATCACTTTATTGTCTTAAATTTCCTGACACACAATAATAACGTAGGGCAAGAATAAGTATAAGTAATTACTTTGATGAGCAAGATGAAATGAAAATGATTATATATATATTTTTTTACCTTGATACAAACACATCTTTTTACCATAACAATATCAACCTAAACATAATCATATTCATGCTTCAAACAATTAGTAATCTATGTGATGAAGGGCATAACGTCAATCATGATGATGGTAGTGGAGAAATTGATGAAGGCAATGACTATGATAACAAAGAAGAGGAATAGATGTAAAAGATGTAAATGTATGTTAGCATGATCATCATCCCAATAACTACAAGTAATGAACAATGTAAGTATCAAACAAATGAGAAATTCTAACATGCACATAAAGAGAAACAATAGTATCATTTAGAAAATATGATAACCAACCAAAACTTAAAACAAAGGAAAAAATAATAATAATATTGAATTCATATGTGGAAACTCTTTAAGTATTAATCACCACAACTTATTAAATTATAATTAATATGAAAATTAATTAAGTTAACTTGGCTTAGAAATTCAAATATAATGATATGTTATGAATTGAAGAGAAGCCTCAAGAGTAAATTATATTGTTCATTTCAACCCAAATATTATTTCAGGGGTTAAAAAATTTAGGGCTAAATAATGATAGTTTTACGTCTTTATTTTACACAAAAATTCTTCGCACAAATAGATAAAATATGAGAAAACAAGAGCCACGAGAATTTTTATGTGTAAATTCCAACCACAGAAAAACTAAGGCTTCTCACTCAAATAAAGTTATTAATTATATAATTACAATTATAATATTGTATCATTTCTCTTTATTAGAAAAAATGAGATTACAAAGTGATATGCACAAACTTGAATTCATATTCTTGTAGTAGAGTTAAACATAGTGAAAGATATTAACGATGTTAGGATGATGACAATAAAATGATAGCAATTAGATGAAAACAGTCAGGTGATATTATTAAATGATAATCATAGAATAATAGAAGCTAGTTGGTGGTGGCTGCTAGCAGTCATTGGTGTTGAACATCAAGCAGAGCTCTAAAATTTCTTAAAATCTTCAAACCCTCGCCCAACTTTCTCGCTCATTTACATGGAGCATAAAGCTCCTTTTGTAGTTTTTCTTGAGAAGCATTTTGGCAAATCTATAAAAAAAAATCCTAAAACACTCTATCAAATAGTCAGTTTGGATTAATTAATTCTAAGTCATTTTTTTCAATATTTAAGCATGTTAAATGACCTCAAAATTGAATGATTTTAGATTCACTCAATTTCTTTCATCTTGATTTAGGTTTATTTGGACTCAAATAACATCTTTTTTAGTGTTATAGTATTTATATCATCAAAATATTAAGTTTGATTATAAAATTGCTAAAATTGAAGCTCGAATGACCTTGGATTTGAAATGCATTAAAATTTATACTTGATCAAGTGAATTGTCTACTTGCATATCAATTATAAATCAAGTGGCTTAAATGCAAATGATAGTTATTATTGATGCACAGTGAGGTAATGACAATGTTATAGTTATGCACACGAAAGTTGTTATTTGAAGCATAAGTTGATCATACTGAATCAACTTTCTTTTGAGAAGATTTTTAGAGAAAAGTCAGACAAAGACTATATGCAATGATGCATATCACAACCAACATCACAAAGAGCACAATTAAGGATACAAGGGAGGTCATTAACCTATAAATTGTCAACACTAATGAAGTATTTGATTGATGAAAAATCCAAAAGAGTACTCTTTAAGTCAAATATATGTTGCTCAATCCATACAAGTGAGTTAGTAATGTAAAACTTTTTCAATTGAAGACAAAGAAAGAAAGGGGAAGATTTGTCATGCCAAATAATTTTTTCATTCCTATAAAATTTTACATACAAAATAACTTCATTAATATGTGGAATGAAAAAGAAAATGATGGGCAGTTGATGTTGGGCATTCATATGATAGAGGATACACGCTAGTTTATAGGTAAGTTAAAGAGGGAGAGCGACATGTGCCTGCAATAAAGTGTTACAATTAAGCTGAAGCTAACTAAAAGTTTGATTTTAAAATCATCTTCAACTTTAAAATCAAGTAACTTATTTTGTAATGTTGATCATAAGAATAAGTTTAAGCCAATAGAAAGAGCTATTTATTTATATAATTCCTATGTATTTATATATCTAACATCTGAAGTCTAATATTTACATTTAGGGGGGAGGACTCTCCTAGATTGAGGCATATGAACATTTCCACCAAATTCTACATTGAAAAAAACTCAAGATGATTTTTCTTGGAATTAGTGATTAGTGTTTTAGTGTGTAGATAAAAACAATTTTCATTGCATTTATTTAATGTTGGAAAATTCGCATACATGCCACATAATTCCTATGTATTTATATATATCTAACATCTGAAGTCTAATATTTACATTTATAATAAACTTCTGGTATTTTCTTTTTAAAAAAATAGTAATAATAATATTTTTGTTGTGATATTAAAGATTTAATTTTTTGTACAAAAATATAAAATTTAAGAGTTAGATAGATAAAAACAAAAGCATTGTCTTTGCATATGTTTAAGAATACCATTTGATGTCAAATAATAAAGTGAATCTTCCTAAACAATCCATTATCGCTGTCAAAAAAGCTCGTTGTTGGCGAACAACTCGTGTTCGGCTCGTTCGTTAAGTAAACGAGCTAAACACGAACAAGTTTTTAAAACTCGAATTATAGATGAGCCGAACACGAACAACTCTTTGTTTGCTAGTGTTGGCTTGTTTTTGGCTTGTTTTAGCTCGAAATAAAATAATTATATAATTATTTATATAATAATATATTACATAAATTATTTATATAATAATATTATACATATATTTATCTAAATGGTAACACCTCGTGTGATACTGTGGTTATTGTCTTCTTTTGCATATATTTGGTCCATGTTTGACTGTTTTTAAAACTCGAATTATAGATGAGCCGAACACGAACAACTCT